CACGTTCACATTTAGGGATCAGGTGAGCGCCGGCCTTGAGTCGCTCACACGGCCTCTCACTGGGGCCGCCAGGTCGCCGACCAGCCCCTCCCTCGCGTGGCCTCTCACCTGGGCCGCCAATTGCGCACCCAGCCCCTTCTCTGGCCGGTTTCGTTACCTTCGGCTACTTTCTACTACCAACCGCAAAACACATATTCTAAATGTCAGGGCGTGGGGTCCCCGGAGACGCGAACCGACTCCAGATGTCACACAATCGCAAGCACAATCATTAACTGCTAATTTCTACCAAAATATGCGGTTACTTTTGGTCAGACTGAGGCCATATGTTGTGGAGTCGCGCTCAAAGCGTGAGTCCGGGCGGGCCACTGTGTGCGGCGGCCCGAATGGCGCCGGTTGAGCGCCCGTCGTCTCCTCTCACGCCGTGGCCGCGCGTCCCGTTAGCTGCGGCTCTGCCGGCCGGCTCAGCCGCGCCGGCCGGCCGGCCCGCCAGCCCAAGGCTGCGGCGTCCGCTCCACATGGCGGCAGCGCCGCTTCGCCCGGCCGCCTCCAGGGCGCCCCGCCGCCAGCCCGCTCAAGGCCGCCCCAGACCCGCGGGACGCCTCCCAGTGGGGAGCCGGCGGCGGGGAGCAGCGTCTGGCGGCGTCTCTCAAACACCAAAACGCACTCAGCGCGGCCGGCGGAGGAGGCACTGCAGCCGTCTCCAGACACCGGCACTCACACGCCGCCCGGAAACCCGCGCCGAACGTCGCGCGGCACTTAATGGCAGATTAGCCACCGGCATTTCATTAGTGAGCCTCGAGCGGAAAGTTTTAAATTGAAACCGTGAGAAGTTCCGGCTGCTGCCGCATTTTCGGAAAATAACATTTCAAACGTCATTTGTTAGTCGCAAATTGAATTTCGGTCGCCTCCGAACGCGAGACGCCGGGCGACAATCTCCGAAAGGGATTGCTTCTCGAAAGGCGGCCGACACCGCTGGGAGAGCGCCGCCGGCCGACCGAGCCGCTCTGTAATCCCGACGAGCGAGCGGCGCACCGAGCCACCGGCCCCAGCGGCCGTCTCCCCTTCAAACGGAGCGCGTCCCGGCGATCCCGGGGAGCCTTTTTGTGAGCGCTGTGGCCTTCGGCGGGCACGAAGCGAGGGGCGGCCCGGTAACAGGGGCGCGCCGGGCAGCTGGCCGGCCGGCCAGCCGGCGCTGACAAAGGCGGCGGCCCGGCGGCCCGGCCGGCGCCCGCTGCCGGCCAGCTGGCCGCGCCGGGGCCGCTCCAGAATGCGGCCGCCCGCCCGGCTGGCCGGCGGACCGGTGGGTCGGCCGGGTGCGGGTTAGCCAGGTGCCGGCGGCGCCGCGCCCAGGCCGGGGCCGCCGAGGCCGGCGGCCGGCGCGAGAAAAAGCGCCGCTGCCTGGGAGCGGCCGACCGCGGCGTTCGCAGGCCGTCCGGCCGTAATCACACGGCCGACGGGCGATCCGCCCGGCCGCCCGGCAAAAAACGGCGCTCATAATGACCGGCGGCCTGCGGCGTCGGCGGCGGTCTGACCCGCCGCTGCCGCCCGCCCGGGCCGGCTGCCGGCGCCGGTCCCGGCAGCCGTACGGTGGCCAGTCGGCGGACAAGGCTCCGGTTACGTCAGCTGCGCTCGTGAACAGGTAAAGTCCCGGGCGGCACGGCTGGGAGAAAGCCATGTGACAGGCAACTGGCTGGCTTGGGCCGGGCCCTACGTGCCCCGCCCGTATATGGAGCCGTTCAGCCCAGCGCTCGGCGGCCAGCGGTGCCCGCCGTAGCGTCACCGCTGCGCTGCGTGACGGGGCGTCTGCATCCAGCGCGGCCACGTCATGGCGCCGGGGGGGTGATGTCACCGCCGACCCGCCCCCGGCGCATGCTGCAGTCGACCCGAGCGCGGCCGGCGCCGGCTGACCTGAGGCCGGCGGCGCCACGTCACCCGCCCGCTACGTCGGCCACACTTGCCACTCACCATTTCGACGCAGGCGGACGACTCCAGGGTGACAGAAGAAGGTGAAACGAGGCGGGCGTAGCTGGGCGGAGAGGCGAGAGCGGGCGAGGGCCGCCGGACACGCAGAGAGGAGCGGCGAGGCCAGGAGCAGCACCGACCGCCGCCAGCCGAACAGAGGGAATGCGCCCGCTGCCGCCGGCCGGCCGGACGCGGCGCGAGTCTATCCACTGCGCAGGGTCCGCGCGCTAGCGGCCGCGCCTATCGATTGCCCGGCCGCAACAGGTGAGCGGCCGCGGCCAATAGCAGGTATGATACGACGCCCGCGCCGCCACTCTTCCCCGGAGATCGGCGTCGTCTGTTCACGGCCTGAGCACATCGGCGCCAAATGAGAGGGCCGAGCGGCCGACAGTCGGCCGGTGGCGCGCATTGATAAAGTTCATTGAATTCGGCCGCCGGCCGTCAGCGGCGCCGCGCGCCATTTATGAACGCTGGCGCAGATTTCCGGTAATGCTTTATAAAGAATCGGTCAGTGCTTTGATAATCGCCACCATCAACTTGTAGAGATCGAAGAAAATGGACGGTCCTTGCATCCGCGATGTACGACCCGGAAGAGTGCCGTCAGCAATATGGTCGGAAAAGCACGGACCTAGAGGAGACGCTTTCACGGTGCAATTGGGTGCGGGGGGTGCCACACCCATCCCCACGGATATTTCGAGCTTTAGCAAGCCTCTCCCTGTATGCACTGTCATAGTGGTCTAACGAGAAAAAAAACCTGTGAGGACTAAGACTAAGCCCCAGCAAAAACCACACAACGATGCTGCTGCGCGAAGCACATTGTTGCTTCCAGCACAGAGCCAAGTGTGGAGTGACCTGTGTTGGAGCTCTCGCCGTCCGGGCAGTCCTCGCCTCCCACTCCGCCTCGTCCTGTCTCCAACGTCTCGCGCACCCGCGCCGCGTCCCAACGCGCCGAAGGTCACGGCTGGCTCCACAAAGGGCCCAGTTGAGGCCACACAAAGGACGAAAGGACTGACCTGGATCTTTCCAGGCCGTCTGGCCGCTTGCCTTGGCGCGTCAAACGGCCGTCCGAAGTGGCCGGATCTCACCGCAGCAGCCGCCGGCGCTGCCGCTCCGACGAATATCTCAGGAGCGCGAGGCGCTGTAATTATGCGCCCGGGTCTTCCAGGCGCGGCCCGCCTGTGCAGCGTTACTCGCCGTCCAAACGGTCCACTATTGAGCGCGGCAAAGTGCTTCACGGTAAACGACCGTCAATGCTACCAACGTGAGCCCCCGGGCTTGATCTCAGACACTGTATCCGGTTATTTTGGGCCAAAATTGCTTTGATTTCGTCAACCCTGGGCCTGACTAGGAGCCCGCCATTAGACGTGTCAGGCACATGAATTGAAACGAAACGAACTGCACACTCAAAGCTCAGACAGAGCTCAGACGCAGCGTTAGTTCGAGACGGCTACCTCGCCAGGTGAAATTAAAATATTATGATTATTCGCATTTATTGGCAATTGAGACGTTGGCCGAGGCCAAACACCTCCCAATCACCCAGGCCGACAGTACGCCAACATCAACCCATACCGAACACCGCACCAGCATCATCTATACGAGGTGCCTGGCAGCCGCTGTCTATTGAGGGCCTCCGGACCAGCATGCAGGAGCCGCCGGCGCAGCCCCGGGCGAGACCACATACCGCTGCCGGTCAGGCGCTGCCAGTCAGGCGCCACCCCTCGTCGCTGTCTCGCCCTCCTAACCGGCTGCCTCCTCCGCTCCTTTCCCGCCCGTCCTCCTCAGCAGCGTCTCCTCTACCCTCCTCATCCCCTGAGAATTTTCCCTCTTCCTCCTTCCCTCCTCGTCGGTTCTCATCCTCCGCCTCCCCTGTTGCCGGCCTCTCTCTTTCTCTCTCTCTCTCTCTTTCACGCTGGTCGGCGCCGACGGCGGCGACGGCGGCGGCCACGTTGGCGCGCGACCAGGCGCCGCTCGGCGCCGTGCGGGCCGTGGGAACGTTCAGATGCGGCCCCGGACGGCGGTGACCGGGGCCGGGGCCGAGGGTCGACCGGCCGGCAACGCCCCGCCACCGACGGCCGCAGCAACAGTCGCTCTCAGCGCATTTTTCGAAGCACAGCACCTGCACCTGTGTTTACCAATTAAACGGACAACACAACACGGAGAGAAATTATGCGCTGCGCAAGCAAAGCCTATGATCTGAAAGTTCTGAAATCCGCACCATGATCCTTCCTCTTCCATGCCATTCTGGAGGCTCCTATTCTACGACTGCCAAATTGAAACGCTTTGGGCTCACACTGCGTCCTCAGCACAGCTCCAGGCACAGGGGCCGGTACGGACCACCTGTGCAGACCAGCCAACGTGATCGCGCACCGTGGGGTGCTTCCGCATCAACGCATTGTCGATGGGCCGCCTCGTCCGACTGACTCCCACAACGAAGGGTGCCGCGCACTGCCGGCCGGTAGGCTCCCGGCCCGCACCAGGCCGCGGCGGGACCAGGCGGAGCGGGGCGGGGGGGGGGGGGGGAAGAAGGGGGAGGGGCCGCCTCCACGGGGCACCGGTGCGGCCCTTACCGGCAGCGGGGCCGACAGGCGGCACCAGCGCCGGACTTCCAATCAATGGCGCTGCGGCCGATCGAACCCGGGGATCGCACCGCACCCGGACGGCGAGCGGGTTCCGCCGGCGGCTGCGCGGGTCGTGCGGATGGCGGCCCGAGGCTTCAGCTCTACGAGTGGGGAAAAGGACGCACCCGCTCCACTCGCCTCGCCCAGCCCCCTCCTCCTCCCGAGCACGCCTCTTCAGGTCGGACATCAGTCGGGATTCGAGTGACTTCAAGTGGGACTCTTCCAAGTGGAGGGCCTCCCGCGATGCCTAAAATGAGAAGTACCCGAGGACGGATATCAGCCCCGTACGCCCATACAGCCGAGCCTAATTGGCCGCCATCACGCAGCGCCGAAAATACCCGTGAATCATCGGGGCCCGATATGGTCGAAACCGAGAACATACCGCCAACACCATCCCGATGCGAGGACATACCGCCACACCATCCCGGGGCGGAGAACATACCGCACACACCCCATCCCCGGGGCGAGAACATCCGCACACACCATCCCGGGGCGAGAACATACCGCACACACCATCCCGGGGCGAGAACATACCGCACACACCATCCCGGGGCGGAACATACCGCACCTTCACACCTTCCCGGGGCGAGAACATACCGCACACACCATCCCGGGGCACTCCCACGGCGTGACGCGGGGCCCCGACAGCGTAAGCGACCGGCGTAAAGACGAAAAACAACCAGAATAGCAGAGGAGTGTGTCACGCCTGCAGCCCTCACGGTCCGCTGAGCCACGTCAGCACTTGGAGGCAGCGCCACGGGCGGACTTCAGACGAAATGAAGACAGTCTTTGACGTCATGAACAGAAGCAGCAGAACTACAGATACACAGAACAAATAAGCAGGCCACCTTCCGTAAACACGGGGTGGTGCCGTGCAATCATCGGATTGCGATTGGCGGACACTGGCGGACATTGGTGGACATTGGCGGACATTGACAGTTGGTGGACATTGGCGGACATTAGCGGACATTGGTGGACATTGGTGGACATTGGCGGACATTGGCGTTTGGTGGACATTCCGACCCAACGCGTCGCTGAGCCGACGGACGTAACAAAAGCGCGTCAATCGCCCATCAAAGACGCTTCAGACTCATTTCATACTTCCATTTCATCAGACATTTCACATCAGCACATCTGGGGAAGCATATGAGCAGAAAATAAATTTCCCGGACTAGTCACGTGACCGAGGTGGCAATTCACATTCCCAGTGCTGCATCTGACAGTCCTTTATCCTCCACTGAGGTGCACTTGCGTTTCCGCCGCACTTTCTGCTTGGCCTAGGCGGCGCTTGTCCGTGAAACCCCGCAGACACCGCCGCCTGACAGGAGTAGGGGCGCCCCGGGGGTGGTGAGGACGGACGGCGCCCCGTCCGTGAGCCCTGAAGACACCACCACTTGGCAGGAACCGCGGCGCCCCGGGGGTGGTCGAGACGGACGGCGTCCCGTTCGACGGCAGCGCACCAGTTGTGCCGATCCACCGGAGGCGCGCCGGCTTCAACGGCCTCCGTCGGACGGCAAACGCCCCCCGCAGCCAGACAGCGGCAGAACGTGAGGCGAGTCCCGATGACAAGCCGCCCCACCCGTCCGCCGATCGACACGGGGTCAAACGGCCGCCATACGGCCCGACCCTGATGGCAATGAATGGCCCACCGGCGGCCGCGGGAGTGGTGGCCCATCGCAGCACACCGCTCACGGAGGTCCGAGGCAGTCGTAAAACGCGGCTCCGCCAGCTGACGGAAAGCGAGCCAAGCAGACAAACCGGCTGGGAGGGCGAAAGGGCACAACTTGTGGCCGCCATGGGATGCAGCAAGACATCACTCTTTCGCCCACAAGGGTTGAATCAGACCTAAAATGCATGAATCGCCAGCAAAAGTACCGTAATCGTGTTCTAATCGGAAAATGAATGTGCTTGGAAACGCTCCATGTCTCTGAACTGGCTTCAAAAGGCACTGGAATGCCAACATAAAGGATGAATAAGCCGCGCTACCCCTCGCGTCAGGGCTCTTTAACACGACCGAGCACAGCCAGCGGCCAACATTTCCAGCTTGGTCGCGTCGGGCACCGGCCGTGAGTGACGGCGAGAGAGCCGCGGGCAGAGCCCGGGCGCGTAATCCCCCGGGGCGCCCGCTGCAGCGCGGCTCGCTCGCCCGGCGGCGTTCCGGCAGCAGCCGCCTGCCACGGCCACGTCCAGTTTGAGCGATCAAATGCCGCAGGGCGGGCCCCCGGGAGCCACGGGGTGGTGCGTCGTGGGAAATACGGCCCCAGAACGGCCCGGCGCGCCGCCGGCAGCGCTCGAGAGCTTCCGCGCTCCGTCGGCCGCAACCGCCGGTCGACCGCAGCCCCGCCCGGCGGCGGGCCCGGTGGCGGCCCGGTGGCGGCCCGGTGACGGCCCGGTGGCGGCCCGGCGGCGGCCCGGTGACGGCCCGGTGGCGGCCCGGTGGCGGCCCGGTGACGGCCCGGTGGCGGCCCGGTGGCGGGCCCGGTGACGGCCCGGTGGCGGCCCGGTGGCGGGCCCGGTGGCGGCCCGGCGGCGGCCCCGGCGGCGGCCCGGTGGCGGCCCGGTGGCGGCCCGGTGGCGGCCCGGTGGCGGCCCGGTGACGGCCCGGTGGCGGCCCGGTGGCGGCCCGGCGGCGGCCCGGCGGCGGCCCGGTGACGGCCCGGTGACGGCCCGGTGGCGGCCCGGTGGCGGCCCGGCGGGCGGCCCGGTGGCGGCCCGGTGGCGGCCCGGTGGCGGCCCGGCGGCGGCCCGGCGGCGGCCCGGCGGCGGCCCGGCTGCTGCCGCGGCCACCACCACGGGCGTCCGCCGCAGGCCAGTTCTGCACACTGGCCGCCGTGAGTCGCCGACCGGAGGTACCACCGCCACTCAATATTTCAGAGTACTAGAGCCTGGGGCAGGCGCGGAAGGAGCGCAGAGAACGCCATCATGAAATTTGTATTGCCGGCACACTTGCCATCTTTCTGCCGCCGCTTGTGCCCCGACCGTCGGCGACAGCGGACGAGGCCGCCGCGGGCAGGTGGCCGCGGCGGCCGACCCATCCGTTTGGTGGAGGCGGACGACCCGCACCAGCGGCGGTCGTTCTCCTCGACGGCTCACCTGGCGTCGCGCAGAACACTGGGACCCGGTCGAACACATGAGCAGAGGCGCCCGACCGCGACAGCCCCGTCCCCTGACGGGAGCCGCCGCCCGGGAGCGCGCCGGGCGCGGGGGGTCAGCACGTGACTGCCGGGCCCGTGAGGAGCAGGGGGCGCATTGAAGGGGCGCTCAGGTGGCTCGACATGGCTGATCGTCGGCCACGCTGCCAGCGGTGGAGGAGCAGCAGGGGCAGACAGATTCGCTAGAAACGGAATACGAATGCTTCCGACGATGGGGGAAGAACTGCAGAAGAACACAACAGACGAGACGTTCGCCAACATCCACAGGTGCGCCCCACACGACATGCCGGGCCTCAGCAGTAGCCCTTCAGGAGCTGGCCCAATTCGGTGGTGCCGCCGTGGTCACCTCAGGCTCCAGCAGCCACCGGTGATCCACGGCCGGCCAGCGGTCTCCACCCAGTGGCGACCGTCCCCGGCTCGACCCGTACCTCGAGTCGATGCGCGGTCGCCACCGGCGGGGTCAGGCGAGGTCGGACCGACCCGGGCGGAGCTCGGCGGCTGAATGGGCGACACGTGCCGCGGCCCAGCCGCTGTGGCGTCAGAGGCGAGCCCAGCCGCCGCGGCCGGGGGCGGCCGCAGAGCGGGCCACGCGCACCAGCGGCCGCCTCTGCCACACCGCCATCAGACACGTCCGCATTCTGGAGGCCGGCACAAGGCGCAAAGTCCGCTCGGCGACATCCACCGCGGGGAACGCGCTGACGAGAACGAGAAGCCCTTTGCGCAGGAAGTGCTCGTGGTGAGGATCCGGGCCGTGTGAGGATCGAGCTTTTGCGCCTGCCTTGACAAGTATTGCGCCGCCACCGGAAATTACGCATAATTTTTAACGTTGGGCGCCATTTTCCTTATGACAATATGAAGGGGCATTGCCTTTCAAATCCCCTGTTAATTTATCACAAAAACAGAATGTACTGATGGCTCAGCATGGTTGCTTACATAAGTAACACCAATGTACTGTTCACAATAATGGAAACGAGAGAAATAAGCATAGCCCTTCTTTTACCATCTTTTCGTGAGGTGCAAGCATCAATGAGCGCAATTTGCGTACTGCCAATACGGAAGGGTTCTGACTATGAGTCTTCTCGAAGCCACTCGATGTCAGCAAGACCGCAGGCAAAGGTATGCCGTGCGGGGGGGGGGGGGGGGCACACGATAACCGACAGATTGTGGCTGCAATCGACGGACAAGTACACAAAGGCGGCTGTTTCATGCCGCGCTGCTATTGCACGTCTCGTTCGTGACGCTCAAACTGTGCAACAGCTCTTAACTTGCTGTATCTAATCAGGGAGTTGCTAAGTCAATAGAGCGCGCAATCACCTAATCATGATCCCTGCAGTTTTCCATTCACGATGCTGAAATATGTGGTTTTGTGCAACCGCTAGGCGTCAGTACGGAACGTCGTGCTTTGTGATAGGCGATTCACTCCATGGTCAATCGTGCAGCAAATCGAAACTGAGACATACTCCAGAGCATGGAGTCTTTAAGGCTTTATGTTCAGGACTCACGAAAACGAACCGAGCCGCCCCCCCCCCCCCCCGCCCCCATTCTTTTGACGAATCTGAGCAAACCAACTGAAGTTGGCTGAACTGAATACAACTGGACCACCGGTACTTTCCAGCCCTTGCAAGAAAGGCTTTCGCCGCGCCCAGACGGCTACGACCCGGTAACATCGATTAAAAACGCGGCCTGAGTTTCGCGCGCTCGAGGTACCAAGGCCAGTCCAGCGACAACTCATGACGTCAGTACTATCGTTGCAAAGGTCCACTCATAGAGCTGTTTTTCCGTAAGGTTTTGCGCGCCAGGTGTGCACCGAATGGTTGATGACCCTGGCACACCCAAAAGAGCTGCGGCGCCCAGTGTGCATCCGCATAGGCCAGCGTGCCGAGGATTGCCTGAAGCCACGCGTGCTTTTAGCCCAGTCGGCGCAGTCCGATAGGGCAGACTAAAACACAAGCCCTGAGTTTTCGGCGCTGCAAGTTCCGAGGCCGATCCAGCAATAACCTCTGACGAAACTTCCTGGCCTTCCTGGTCCGCCAGGTAACGAACAGCTATTGGATCATTTGAGAGTCATTCAGAAGTACGAGTGGAAGTAACTACGGGAGCAGTGCCCACGCTCCTCGTCCATAAAAGATGAACTGGCCAGCGTTACAGCCTCACGCCGGCCAGCTCGGCCCGACCTGCCTCCTTCCGCCGCTCTGCCGCTCTCAGAGGACCCGGAGGCTGCACCGGCCCACGCATCTGCACCCCGCTCTGCCGCTCTCAGTGGACCCAGAGGCTGCACCGGCCCACGCATCTGCACCCCGCTCTGCCGCTCTCAGAGGACCCGGAGGCTGCACCGGCCCACGCATCTGCACCCCGCTCTGCCGCTCTCAGAGGACCCAGAGGCTGCACCCTCCACGCATTTGCACCGCGCGGGGAACCCTCCCCCGACGGCGGGGAAGGGTGGCCACTCTCCCCAGCGGAACACCCTCCGAGGCGGCCCCGGCGTTTTAGCACGGCTGATGACCCGTTCATCACGCATGTCTGAAACAAATGGTCCCGGACCACGTCAGGTCACCAAATAATGACGCAATTTCTGAGGGTTTGCGGAGGCATGTTGTAACAGTTGGCAGGCGTGTCCATGTGTTAGCAATGGACGGCCAATGTGGGCACGTAATCAGTATATAATGACGTAAATGGAGTGAATGAAGGTAGACATATGATGCAAAATAAATGTACGTGTCATGTGTCTTGGTCACCTTCTGCGATGAAACTGAGAAAGATTAAGGTTGTCTGCCTGTCTGTTCGGAAAGTGTCACTTTTGTTCCAAGAAGTTGTAGCTTTTTCGACCTCATGTTCTTAAGGATTAAGGTTGACCTTACCTAGTAGGTCACCAGTTGCTTTCACCTGTTGACTTTAACTGGACATCGTTGCAGTCCTCAGACACCGAACTCGCCGCTGATCCCTGTTTCGCGGCTTTGGCTCGGTTTGGGGTCAAATGGCGGCAGGTTTCTCACCCCCTCCCTTGTCAGCGTCACGAGTGGAAACAGTTCCCGCACGGAGACGGCCAAAGAACCATCCGTCTGCCCCGTCTCCAGAGGATCCTGCAACTTCACGCCGACATCTGTGTCGTTCCCGCCCAGCCCGGCGACCGTCTTCAAATATGACACCTCGGAGCCGACCGTTCGCCGCGCAGAGCCCAACGCTCATCGATCAGCCGAGGTCCCCAGTCGGCCGTGCCAGCCGCCCTGTCCCCATATTCCCCAGCCCCCGGTCCCCGGGCCCCAGTCCTCGCCGCTCCCGCCGCCGCCGCATTAGCATACGGCCGGGAAGGTCTGGCCGCGTCGGGCCGGCGCGTGAGAGCGGACGCGCGCCCGCCTCCCGCGGGGCCCATCAGCCGCCGGCCCGCCGCTCCCCGTTCTCCATCCGCCGGCCGAGCGTCCCGCGGGCCGCCCGGCCAGCGGACGGAGCCCGCCCAGCCAGCCATGCAGCGCGCTCAAAAGCCCGCCCGAATCGGCGGCACCCGGATTCCGCCTGGCTGGGCGGGATAACATTCAGCGAGCGAGTGGGAGCCGGCCGGGATGGAATTAGCCGACACCTGCGCCCTCCGCGCGCGGACGAGACGAAATCCATAACAGCTCCGGGGCAGATTGGAGTGCCTTTGTACGACCGGCCGGGCGGTCTGCAGCGTTCAGTATCCTCCCGTGGCAACCGTCCGGCCGGGGCAGACGGCTCGCGGCGCGGTCCGCTTGTCCCGGTAATCGATGTCTTGCGGGGACGCACTACAGATCAGAGGGATCATTTTTCGTGATGTCGTTGGAAACGATATCGAGTTCATCCCCACAATGGCAAGGGGTGCGGCGATGCCCTCAGGCCGGAGTTCGGGTGCCGCTCTCGATTAGTAATGTGCTGAAGCGTCGAGTTGCTCTCCGTGCGTTGGGCTCGAAATACAGTTTCCAGAATCATACTGCGCTTCGCTCTGAAAAGGAAAAGCACAGCTTTTCAAAGGCCCAATCCCTTAAAATGGGCTAGTCGACCGAACAATATATTTGTATACAATATACTTATATACAATATATACAATATACCTTCATACGTAGATAGAAGGCTGCGACATCTCTTGCTGATCCATATGACATCTTGCTCTTGTCAGTTTTCGTTCTTTACGCTATAATATCTATTTAGAGAATCACTGGCTTAAACATGGGGCCTCTGGGGGATGAGCACAGGAACGTGTAGCGAAGGTCTGCACTATACGCTTACGAAGAAAAACAGCCGCACGTTAGTCCATGACATCACGGTGGCATCCACTAAGCAAAAAGTGCAAAATATTTTGTAACTATTTTTGCGGTTCTGGATACGCTAAGCCTGACTACTCGGGGTGGGGAGGGCACCACTTCCCGGACTTCTAGTCTCGGGTTAGTTCCGTCAGCAAACAGTTATGCATATGGCTGTGACGGAAGACTTGAAAACCAAATTTTGAATAAAACAAATAACGGGGAGGAAGCAAAAGCCGATTGGAAAGAAAAATATTACAATGTTTAAGACCATAAGGATCCTGCAGATAAAATCAAGGCAACGCAATTATTTGGTCTACGTCCACTGCCGTAAAAAATATAGCTGACCCGAAACGGTACAATTCGCCGGACGTCACAACAATGCGGAAAATGCTAGCTAGCTGAACAAAGCAAAGGTCAAGCTACCAAAGGCTTGCGTCTGATTGAACCAAGGGCTTCACATCGAGCCTGCGACTGCCGTCCGAAGCTCGGATATTTTCCAGCCAGCACATCTGCGAATTCCAACACCAGATCCAACACTGGCTGCACGGTCCCAACACAGGGTCCGCTGCCACGCAAAGATCCAGGGACGCGCGACTCCCGATAAACGTCGGCTCGGCGAGGGGGCGTCTCCCTGGTTCCAGTGGAAAGTGACCGCCAGACACCTCCGTTCGCCGCGCAAGAGACAAAGGGGCCTAACTTTGGGTCCGGATTTGAAAACTTAGTGGCGAAATCGCCAACGCTATTTCTCATATACGTCATGGCCGTGATCAAAGTTACCTAGTTCTCGGAACGGCGAAGAGCCGTGGGAGAAGACCTCCCAAGCAGGCATAATGCTTGGAGATGGCAGACAATTAAAACTTGCCCATCTAGGGATTGCTTTCAAAGGCGGGGATTTCCAATAACAACTTCTGGTGGTTATTTAGAGTTGAGAGCGAATATCATGTATTGGACAGCGAAGAGCTAAAGTGATCAAAAGAGCTCGTGACATCATGGATACCGCTGCGAACAATTCTTGTCTGACCGCCGTCATTGGGGCCTCACGAAGCGCTCACGCTGAGGCTATATGGTGTCGCCTACCTCCCACTCTGGCAGGGGGGGGGGGGCGGCATCACAGGGGGTCCAGGCCTGTACCTCCCAGACGCGCAGCTTAGCCAGTACACTATCGGTGTCTCATTTTTCGCCAGTTACCAAAAATATGAAATAACTTGAACATTTTGGTTTGTGTTGGCTCCTAACGACAGGAATGGTGTTCCCATGAAAACACTAAAACAATTGCGCGGAGTAAAGTGCATCGGTGTGTAAGCAGACCAAATACACGCGATTTTACTCAGACGTACGCTACAAGTTCTACTTGCTACTATTATAATCTATTTGCACATAAGGTTAGTGGTCGAAATATATTTTCTTCCCTATTTTTGACACCTTTTAAGCATTGCGCACCAGGTAATAAGCAAAAGAGGGTTGTCTATTATTTAGAGCGTCGTATATGCGTTTGAGATATATTCATTCTCGAACAAAGCATTGTTTACGCCGGGCTCTAAGCACCCAAAGTAACACCGAACCGAGGCACCCTTGTGCGACAAACTGACGATCATCCAAGGGAATATTGCAACTCGGCGGACACCCAGCTATGTACAAAACATGACGAAACTTCAGCACACTGGCTGGGTTGCCGCTATTTGCTGCCGGCAGACGGCGCAGGAAAAACACCCAAAGTTTGTTTGGTATTTCGCATTCCCGTACCCTATCCCAGCCCAGCCCAGAGTAATCAGGGCGTAACCACGGGAGTGGCTGACAAATGGCCAAAATGCGTGCCGTTATTTATGAACGGTCCAAAACCCATTTGCGTTGGTGGCGTGGGTGCGAATTTTGAACACGCACATGAACTTTAGTGAAGCGGAAACAGTAGGAGAGAGCTGATGTGGCCACACAGAGAGCTGATGCTATCACGCTTGGAAGTATTTCCGGAGACCTGCAATATTCCACCAACATCGCATCAAAGCGCTCAAGTTGCATGCTTACATTATCTTACATTAACTAACATTATCTTAGGCTATAGCTCATTTCCTCGCAGCGAGTGCTGTACCACTTCGTTACCTTCCGGGGACGGCATGGGCGTCACAGTACAGCATCCGGCGTCACTGCAGAGCGCACGGGCAACAGGTCCGTCGCCAAGCAGCTGGTGGCCGGCAGTTACAGAGCTAGTCTGGTTTAGATTACGAACAAAGCTCCACTACCGTCAATAAGCCCGACGTTTACGTCTGTCTGGAGGAAGATTGCGTTGCCCTACCCACCAACCCATAAAGCGGTTTCCAGTCTAGCTGAGCTGGCAACTGTACTGTCAAACTTACATTCACTTCACGGACAAACTAAAACAACCTGTTAATGCTTCGACCTGCACGTCCGTCGCCACCGCCAACGGCACGCCGCAGTCGCTATTTGGTTGCGCACTGCTGTTTATTTAGCTGACAACTGCCCGGCGTAAAGCTGTCTCGCGCGCCCCCGCGGTCTGCCGGAACTTCTGCGGCACTCGTGATGATCGTGTTCGCGCTGCCATGCTGGCACCGCAGTCCGCCGAAGCCAAATGGAGTCATTGGTGAGCTCCTCCAAAAGGCGTGACTCAGCGCACCCCGCCGTCAACAGGCCATTGCGACACGAATGTCGGTCCCACCCCGCGCCCATGGCCGTATCACGGAACAGTCAGTGAGGCTGCGCCTGTGAACCACTCAACACACGGGAACAGGGCGGAGCGGCACGACTCTGGCGCATGCACGCCGCTGGAGGCAATGGTGCAGACTGGGGAAGGTGGTCACCAATGGACCCACAACGGAAACAGGGCGTCGCGGAGAAAGCTGTCAGACGCCGGGAAATACTTCGCGGCCTTCCAACGCCGCAACAACGACCCCTTCACGAGCACGGCGACGCTGTTGCAGGCCCATCCTTCGGCCCGCAGCCTTCACAAAGATCCCGCTTAAGGGAAAAAGTGCGGCGTCACTTGTGTACAAGTGCCCGCGACACAAAGACACAAGTGCAAATGGCTTGCGCGCCGGGAAGCAGGAACACCCGCCCGGACGTCAGCGGGGTTCTTGAGACTACCGCTACCTCATGACTGACCTGCGGCAGCGGTGCGGCAGTCATTCGCCCGCGTCACAGCCACGGCACAGGGCGCGACCTCAGCGGAGGCGTCTGACCCGGCACGGTGCGGCGCATCCGGCGCCCGGTCTGACCTCCCCCACTGACCTGCAGCAGCGTGGTGTAGTGGTACAGTCCGGCCAGGTCGGGACCGATGAGCGCCAGCGTCTGCGGCTGCACACCCGGGTAGAAGTCCTCCACCGCCGGCCGCTTCATAGTCACATGCGCACCTCTAGCGAATCGCGGGGCTTACCTGGAACAAAGACACGCCGGCCGTCAGCGCGTGCGTGTCATCATGCACCTCGGCGACGGCCGGCAAAAACGGCTGCAGTTGGTGCGGCCGCCTGCCCACGGGGGCGGGGGGGGGGGGGAAGGGCGTGTCGGCAGCTGAGGCGGCCGGCGCCTCCTAGAGCGGCGCGGCACACGCGACACAGGTAAGGCAGCGACGGGCGCGCCGCCGACGCCGCAGTCGATGCCGGGCTGGGAGGGCCTGGTCCAGTCACCGGCTGGCAACGACAGCAGCCAAACGGCAGACAAGACGACAGACCACACTCCGGGGAGCGCGCGCTCACGTAGGGCGGGGGCGGGGAGCAGACACTGCGACTCGACAAACAAAAGTTGCGTCGTAAACGCGCTGCGAAGAAGTCGTACAGTTCGCAATGATCTCGCTGATCTTGAGCTCGCAGCGTTTTGCTCTTTGTGAGCCCCCAAGGAATTATTTTACTGTGGAAGGAGAAACAAGAGAAGGATGCCCGGAAGAAGAGCTGTACTACGCCGGGTGTCACTTGGACATTTCACAGCACACGATGCGCCGGGGGTACTTCGAACCCCCAACACACACCATTTTGAGACGATCTGCCGGGCCGATACGCCGAATTGAACTAATCCGAACGGAAATATATAGCCCGATTATCTCAACGAGAGACAATATATGCTACGAACTGGAGGTTAGTGATGACGTCAACGATGATCGTGTCAAGCGACGCAATCCGACCTGCGCCGAGAGGGCGCTTATCAAATTATCGTCTGGACTCCATTACCGATTACCGTCGTGCTGCGCTGTCTATGGATACAGAAAATACCTATTTTTCGTCACCAGCTGAAACAGACTGGCATAAATCTTGGAACATGCCATAGAACTTTGCCTAAATTTAAGAACTCCAGGTCATGGTACTGTGAAAAATGTACTGCAGTAGCAGCAGCGGCAAACGGCATCAGTCGCCTAAAGCGACCTGGCTGACATCCAAAAGGGCCATTCACATAGCCACTGTTAGATAAACTGGACCGACCTCTCGCTTCACTCTGCCGTCAGAGCATGTCAGCTAACAATGAGCAGACGTGTCCGATGATCACAATGAGCGTGTACTGGCGTCATCAAATATGATATGAAAGATTCAATCTGGAATTCATTGTTTGACATGGGACATCTTAGGTGATGATTCAACGGAACTACAAGCTTTAAATTGCTTGCATATGGATTCGGCTTCCTGGCTTCGGCTTCATCACAAAAAAACAGGATAGGGCAAACACATTGGGCCACATATTAATCCCATTGTAAATGTCCCGATTCCGCTAATCCACGGGCCATTAGTTCCCCTTCCATTTTCCGGTGATGGGAGCAAAAAACGGAAGCCGCCGGGCCGACGATGGCGACAGCTGAGCGCCAAACCAGACTTCCAACCCCGGCCGGGTCATTAGTCAGCCACAACATTTGTTCCATCCACTAATAACACGCGCCGCCATCCATCTGTGTCGACCGAGAAAATACAGAGCGCCACTAAAATTAGCGACATCAAACCGCGCGCGCGCCGTGTCGGGTGTCCAACCACACAGCCAATCGAGGTCAGGCCGGTCACGTGGCGGCGGCACGCCCCGGGGGCGGCGGGCACCTTCGCCGGCTAACCAGCGCTCGGTCTGCCGTTGCCGTCGGCAATCGCTTCATAACGTCATCCATTAGGCGCCGCCCCTTTGACCTTACGAGTCGCCATTAGGGCCGTGGCTCTGGGACGCCGAACTCGGCGGCTGCATCAAAAGTGGATTTCTGCCGCCGACGGCCGGCAGCGCTAATGATCGCAGCCTAACAGAGCGCTGATAATAGCGTCGCAGCCGCCCGCCGCCGACGTCTGGCAAACGGCGGCAAACGAGTACTTAGAACAGCGAGTCGGCCGACCCATTCAACGGCACTATGGCGAGGCCCAGCGACCCCGCGCGACACTGCAGCTTCGCAGAAGCTTTCTTCGGCATTATTTCCGCCGCGGGATCGAAGGGCAGCACTCCAGCGCCGACGCCCACGGCAGACGAAAGAAGAACAAAAACAAAGCCCCTTTGTTGTCGGAGAGGGGAAAGCCCGGCGGTCTATGCCTCCGGGCGCTACCAGCCGTAGGATGCTGCTACGCATTTGTGCTAAGCAGGCATCCAATGTAAACGGGGAAGCAGGCAGGCAGGCAGGCAGGCAGGCAGGCAGGCAGGCAAGCAGGTAGCCCGCAGGCAGGCATATCATCGGGGAAGCCCTACAGCGTCCGATATGAACGTCGACAGCTCACTGCCAAGGCTAGCCAGTACCTCTCCCGTCTCCTGACCGCCGCCGCCACCGGCAGCCATACAGCGACGCGACGCTGCCCCCGGCTCTGGCCGGGCCGGACTGGACCGTGGCTCAGCCGGCCGCCACAACAGCGGCCGGCACAGTCTGGCCGCTCTCGGGACTGACCCCGGCGGCGCCGCTGCCGGCACGGCCCGCCCGCCGCGGGCCATCGAGTCATCGGCTCGCGCCCCACGCCCACCGCCATCGGTCGGCAGGAGGCAGGTGGTGCCGCGCCCGAACGCCGCGTGGACAGAGCACAGCGCTCCTCAGCGGTCGTCCCATGGGCACAAGGCGAGGTGACCGGGTCATGATCGGGGTCGCAGACACCCAAGGTCACCAATGAGGCTGGAGGAAGAAGTCAAGCGGCGTCAACAGATGTCCACATTCCACAGGAGACGCTGACACGGACGGGACGGGACGGGACGGGACGGGACGGAACGGAACGGGACGGAACGGAACGGAACGGAACGGAACGGAACGGGACGGGACGGGACGGGACGGGACGGGACGGGACGGGACGGGACGGGACGGGACGGGACGGGACGGGACGGGACGGGACGGAACGGGACGGAACGAGACGAGACGAGACGAGACGAGACGAGACGAGACGAGACGAGACGAGACGAGACGAGACGAGACGAGACGAGACGAGACGAGACGAGATGGGACGGGACGGGACGGGACGGGACGGGACGGGACAGAATGCCCAGGAAACGTTCAGCCGGTAACGATGCTGCCACTCTCACTGTACAGTCAGATGACAGAAAGGCTTCACGCATTCATTACCACTTAAATCAAGATTGAGTAGATGACTTTCAGCTCTAACAGTGATGACCTGTTTGCTGTTGCAAGGCTTGAAGGCTGGGGCGGAATAGCTGAGGCCATGCATTTTTGTCGTTCGCCATCTTCAGGTGAGTAGAGAGGCGGAAGAGAAAAGGGGAGCCAAGGAGCTCACACACCCATCCCACCCACGCAGGGTTAGGCGTGTCACCTACTTAGTTCCTCCTTTAGCTGTAACGCCAGCATGGGTCCAGTGTCCATATGCGAACGCTGACAATGCGCGCCCAAAACCACTCTTCTTCTGATTTTTACTCATCTACCAACCAGCCTGCAAGTCTTCAACAGCAAAGCGGCCGGTGCTATTGGGGATTAACGTCATCTATCTACCCTACATTGAAAGGGTAGATAGATGATGCCATCAATGTGCCACATCAGTAGGTCACATCAATGTTCTGCATTGATGCGGCAATCCCATAAACTTCTAAATATTAACAATTAATAAATTAATATTACTACCTACTTTCAAAAACTAGGTATTTGATATTTATAGAACCATTGTCCTCCCCCCCCCGAAAAATGTGCCCAAAAAATGACCGGTCGGTTACTGATCCCTTCCCACGTGGGCTGGCTGTAGCTGGCAACAGACAGCCCACAAAGAGGAAGGGGATCATCAACGAGGCCTGCGCCCTGTTCACCTCGGTCTAAATCCCACTGATTAGATAACACGGCGGAGTCAATGCCGACGACAGACGTGTGGAGCTCGCACCATATTCCATCCTGCATATTTCCCCTATTCAGAAACGCATTAAACGAATTAACAAGGCCAAGCAACGCATTCTGCAATCACCATTTGTCAGAACTAGCTGGCCATCCAGAACGGGGCGAAGATTACGACAGAGCGAGTTGGACGTAACTGTAAACATTTGGCAACACCGTTTGTCGTTGTACTGATGTTCCAATAGGATCGGGCTGTTTCGCTGGCCACGGCATGTACGCTCGGCTCGGCTGCTGCGGTACACCAGTACACCAGTACACCAGTCACTGGTGTTGCCCAAATCTGAGCCGTGTTCCCGATACGGTGGAACCAAATATCCTGTTTTTTTTTTGGCAGATGGTTGAAGCGGTTTAATCCACTGATCGAATGTAAGGGAAAAAGGCGTCCCACTCGAGATGGCGGCTCCCTACTGATGGCACCGAGGCCGTCCCGTCTGCACCGTCTCCGCGGAAACGCGTTCGGCCGGATGGCTCGGTGGGTTCGGGGTCGTCGAGAAGTTCAGTTACGCATTTACGTATTGTTTGAATATTTTCAGCTCTCTCCAATGGTTACGCTGGGTGAAAACACTGCCTCCCCTAAAAACCGTAATAAACGCAGTGTACCAGCGAGGCAACGGCTGTTTGGCCCCTACCTGAGCTGATTGAACTAATTGAGCTGGAGGTGCGGAACAAATTGCAGGGTGTTGCTTGTCATTAAAAGAAGCCGACGGCCTTCAGTTTTACGATCCTAAAATATAAAAAGGGAGCAAGATTTGTAGCCGCATCTAAGTGTTACGCTGTGCAAACCCCCTCCCCTTGCCACGTTTTAGTTACGTTCTATCATAGAACCCCCGCCCCCTCCATGCGTAACGCAAAACAGGGACGGTCCCTTAGGACTGCCTTTCGATTCACCCGCCCGTGGCGGGGTGGGCTCAAGTCGCCTCAGGCGAACGTTCTGTGCCCCTGACAGAGATGACCCGCGGCCGGCGGCAGCGATCGCTTAACGGTCAGGTGAAGGCAAAGCAAGACGAGCCGTGCCAAACCACTGTGGTGCGAAAACTGACGCCGCAAAATTCTGACGTTTGCCAGGAAGTTCATGATCCGATGGTGTGTCGGGGCTCACTCAACAAGCATTGGAT